CTAGTTTAAATTATAAATATATATTCTAATATTCAATAATTTTTGCATTTGTTATTAAATTTTCCTACATAATATATCAAACTAATTATATATTTTTAGTTTGGCATCTATTATATATACTAGTATTCGACCTTGTGCATTTGCACAGATATAAATAAAATTAAATATTATAAGCTATTTTTATGTATATAATATAAAAATTATAAGTTATATAATTGTATTATCTTTCAAATATATAGTATTATAAGTTATATTTATGTATATAATATTAAAATTATAAATTATATAATAGTATTATATTTTAAAATTTGATCATTGGTTAAAATAAATAGTACACACGATTTGATTGTATACGAATCACTATATTGATTGCATAAAATGCAATAAATATATACTTTTTATAATTTTGAGTGATCATGACCAATTAATTAGCTGAAAAATATTACATTTATTATAACAATTGCTTATGTGATTTTGAGAAATTTTAATATGACATAAAAAAAATTAATTTATTAATAAACAACATCTTCATCATATAAAAAAATTTTGATTTTAGTGTAAAATATAATTTTATGTAACTTTCATATATTATTTAGTATAAAATATAATTATTAATTTTAATATTAACTATTATATTATTCAATAAAAAATATAATTATTAATCAATTAACATAAAATATAATGGTTTTTGTCTTGATTAACCCAAAAAATGTAATGAAATATTTTCTTATTAATGAGATTGGGTGTATTAATGCCACATAAATAAAATTTATTAGGTTCTATTTATTAGGTTTTATTAATAATTTGCCACATAAGTAAAATTTATTAGGTAAAATTTATTGCTTAGCTAGCAATTATATATATATAGATACTAGAGGTGGCAAGGGTTGCCCCGACCCGTCGAACTAGCCGGAACCGGCCCGCGCATACGGGTCTTCGATCCGGACCCATGGTAAAATCAAGCCGGTTCCGGGTCTTAGTTTTGCTTTTTCTACCCGCCGGTTCGCGGTTGGAAGACGGATCCGAGTTGGTTTTTAATTTTTTTTTTTTAATTAAAAACCAACACTTCAATGAATCGTCAGGTCGGGTCGGATCGGGAACCGGCCTGCCTAATTACCACGCGTGTGTGTGTGTGTTTAAATGAGAATGAATCAGAAAGAAATAAGAATTATCTATTCATTTGTTTTAGTCTAACATCTATATTATATAGAGAGAGAGATGTGAACACATGAGAAAGATAGTGAAAGAAATAAGAATAAATATGTACATTGAATCCATCAATACAACGGTAATGATCAAGTCAGACTTTAATATATGACATTCAAACAGAAATATAAATAAATATGTACATTGAATCCATCAAGACAACGGTCATGATCAAGTAAGACTTTAATATATGACAGTTAAGCATGCAATGACAATATTGTGAATAAGTAGATATATCGTGGTTAAATATATACATTTGACCACCCACTAAGGGTAAATTAGACAATTCATTCATACTCACACACCCACCAAGTGGACCCCAAACGACTCCATCTCTCTCACACACAAAAACACAGACACACACAAATACACACACACACATAAATTCACACACTCACGCATACACACACACAACCAGGTATACCGTTGGCCACCACGATCACCGCCGCAGTCACAAGTCGCTACTACCATCAGATCCGCCAGTCCTGTTGTCGACACCACAGCCGGCCGCTGCCATCAGCTCCGACGGCCCCATTGCTGCCTCCACCATTCCGAACACTTTGGTACTCATGGCGAGTGCAATCAAGTCGGTTGCGGAGAGCTGGTTCTGAATCTTCACTGCTGGCGTTGAGGAAGGGGATTATATAAATATATATATCATACATTATTTTTTGGTAGAGGAAGGTGTCGGGCGATTGCATAGGAAGAAAGAGTTGGTGCATGAATGAGACTTGGGAGGCAAGGAGGGCTTCTTTAGCGGTGAGTAGTGACTCTGGCAGACGGTGGAAGGATTTGGGAGATCGAACAAATTTTGAGATTGTGGGATTTTTTTTTTTTAAAAAAAAAAATGATATGTTCTTAAATTTCAATATATTCCAATTTAGTACGTGGCAAATCGATAATTTACTAAAAGTTTAATACATGCATAATAATGATACATGAATTACACAATATTGTGTGAGAACATGCAAATTAAAAATACTACCAATTTATACTCATAGATTATTTCGAGCATTGTTTTGAAACCCCAGAACGGCCCGACGAGTCGACCTCTGGGACTGATTCTGGTGGGTTGTTCAGACTGAGTAGCAACAGTCAAACCCGTTCAACTTGCCTTTGACCCAGATATTGACCCAGCCGAATCAACTCGGTTTGATCCGACCGTTACATATTTTTTTCTTTTAAAAAAAAATTATATATATTTATGTGGTAATTATTTATGACACAATATTATAAAAACTTTGGAATATAAAATTTTACATATAAATAATTTATTTTTATTATTCTATTTATAGTCATAAAATATAAATAATAGCGATATAATTTATTTAAAGTTTTATAAAATGAATTACTCAATTTTTTCAAATAACCCGACTGAGTAGACCAGTGACTATAACGCGAGTCGAGTCTGGATTAATCACAGGTTTTAAAACTATATTACTTGTTTATTCTGGAATCGCAAATAATAATAACTAGTACAGAGCCCGTGCGATGCACGGGGTGCATAATTTTAAGACTATTTATCCAGACTTATAATTATATACATGAATAAAAAAAAATGTACGGAATATATATAATACGTGACCTATGCGAAACACGGGATATATTTATTTGGAGAATATTATATTATAAGATGCATTATTCAATAAAAATTTATAATACGCAATAAAATTGTACATTGTTCAATAAAAGTTTTATAATATTCAAGTGGAGTCTTAAAGTCTCTTGTACATTAAGAATACTGACAAAATAATATTTTAATCAATGAGTTTCCTTTCCTTGTAGTCAAATTGTGAATGTGATTTGAGGAGTACAACAAATCGATATATAGCTGACTTGCTTTTTTCATTGTAGTTTTTTTTTCTTTTTTTTTTTATAATGAATTTAAAGATATTCTAAAATATAGCAAAAATTAATTTTTTTTATTACAATTAGGAATTTTACTAAATATAGACTTTCAATCTATGGTGTTAATCAACGTTTAAATCTAAAAAATTAGGAATTTTTACCTCTTTTAATCAACGTTTAAGTCTAAAAAACAATAGAGTTATTATAAGTTTTTTCTACATCTTTTAAAACACTGAATATGAGCATGTTAGGGCTAGCTTGTAAAATAATTAATATATTATCTCACTAAAACATTTATACTAATAAAAATTTAATTTTAGCATATAAATTTATCCCTTGGTATAAGAGAAAGTAACAATTTTACTTATTGTTGTTCACCATATAATATTTAATTATTATTTTATTATATAACAAAAAAGGAATATTATTAAATAGTGTAGTAAAATTGTTATAAAATTATATGATTTTTTTTTACAATATGGATTTAATATTTTTTTATGATTTGATAATATAAACAAATCTATACTTAACTTTGACAAATAAAATAAATAAATACTTTAGTAAGTATTTAACGTATATACTAAATAGGAATATATTTGGTATAATCAAATACCAAATATAATCAAATAAGTCAAAGTGTACATTTTTATTTGGTGTTTGATTTTTTTATTATTAAAATCTTTTTATTATACTTACCTTTTTAAAATAAAACAAATAAATAAATTAATTAAATAAATAAAATATTATAATACCAAAATAGTAATGGCATTTAATGCAGTTGACTTTTCTGGATAGTAAATGTAGTAAATAGAATCTCCTTTTATATAAGTATAGATATGATATTATATTATGTTGCTCAAAATGGTAATGCATTTATTGCATTGGCTTTTTAACTTACTAAATTTCGTAAATGGTACACCTTATTATATAAGTATAGATACGGAAATAGTAATGTAATAAATGCTGTTGACTTTTCTGGCTACTTAATTTGGTAAATAATATCCCCTTTAATATAAGTATAGATAATAATAATCTATATCTATATATATATAAAGAGGTTGTTGGAAAAATACATTAATAGAAAGTTTGACCAAATAAATATAATAGTTGACTTACTATTAATGGAAAGTTCAAAAAATAGACGTGAATCTTTAGTAACAAAATCTGAATCCTATTTTTTTGGTAACTAATTTGGAGATTCTTATAGCAAAATTTGAATTCTATTTTTTTCGTATCATATTTTATTTTTTTTATCAAAATTTAAATCATATATTTTTTGGTAACAAATGTGTCAATTATTTATGAAAACAATTCTAAATACAAATTAACTAAAAAACTGTACAAATTGGATACAAATTTTGTAAACAAATAGTTGTATAATTTCTAACTAATTCTTCCAATCTTATTGAATAATTTTTTCTTTAAAAAAAAAGTGTGTAAATTGGATAAAACCACGTGCAATTTTTATTTTAGAATAAAACTGATATTTGGACGGGATGTACATTCAAAATTGTGTCCACATTTTTTGGTAACAAAAGCGATTCATCTTGATATATAAAAATTAAAAAAATCTTAAAATATCCTTAAATATTTAATTTATTTGAGATCAAGATTTGTTAGGTCTTTTTAAGATTAGTTATAATTTAAAAGAAAAAAATAATTTACAAAATTTCACTCTAAATCTCACGTTCACACTTAAGATTTCATAGTATTCCTCTAAAATTTGATAATCTTAAAAGTCTCAAATCTTAAAAAATGTCAAAGTGACACTCAAAATTCTAAACGAATACATATTATATACCTATATCGTCAATTTATAATTATTATTTGATATTATTTACCTGTGCATCGCACGGGCCACATACTAGTAATAATAATAATAATAATGATAATAATAATATCAGTAACCACTTATGACTGAACGTCTTACTGAGGTCTAGCAATATAAAATCTGGACGGAAAAAGAGACGGATGATGGTAATAACTAATAATGCAAAAAAGGGATGAAATATTAATTAGGGTTCATCACTTAATCTGCCAAATGGATTCTGTAAATCCACTCCCACAATTTGATTTCCGATTTAACAAACCAGGGTTAAAGGAGAAAAAATGGTGTTGTGGGAAGAGGGTTACAGGCTTACAGCAAGCTTGGTTACAACACGCTATATATATGTTCGTAACACTACACGGTGCAAGAGCGAGACTGGAGTTAGTGTGTGTGTGGGAGAGAGAGTCTGCGAGTTTTTAATCTCAGACGAATACTAGTGGAATCTCAAGACTTCTGAATTCACGTTGTCTGTGAGTGACCCTTTCTCACTGATTAATCTAATTAGTTTTACTTGGCTGTTCATTTTTACGGTCGTCGGTTGTATTTGATGTTTTTGTGTGAGAAATGAGAATTTGTCACTCTAATTGTTTTGCTCATTTTTTGTAAATATTTTTTTATTGGGTTTTACTTTCTATTGCTGCTGTACACGGTTCCGTTTTCTGCAGGGTTTCATTCAAAACTTTCAGCGGTTTCTGTCATCTTCTACTTTTGGTTTAAGATTTCTTGTACCTTTTTCTGTATTCTATTACAGTTTTGGGCCTTGTTATTTTTCTAAATAGTATTGATTGTTTAGTTAACTGGGTATGCTTAGAGGGTTTGTCATTTTGACGGTCCTTGGTTTTATTTGATGTTCTGCGAGAGAAAAGTGAAATTTCCTACTCTGATTATTTGCTCATTTTTTGGTTAATATTTTTATTTGGTTTTACTTTCTATTGCTGCTATGCACGTTGCCGTTTTCTGCAGGATTTCATTTATTTTTATTTTTTGCTGTTTCTGTCATCTTCTAGTTTTCGTTGGAGATTTTCTTGTCCTTTTTTCCTGTACTAGTACTCTGTAACTGGTTTGGGCCTTTTTAATTTTTGTAAATAATTTTGATTGTTTAGTTAACTGGGCATGCTTAGTGGTTTTGTTTCCAATCCTGAATTCTTTGAGTGGTGTTAATACAAGAAAGTTATAAGAAGGTTAATTTGCTCTGAAAGGTTTCATGTACTTTCGATTCTTGATTGATGGGAATTCTGTTTGAGTACTAGTGTATTTTTCTTGGTTGTGTTTCTGTCAGTGATAATCGGTAAGGGTTTAGGTGTTTTTGGATAAATAGTGTTCAGTTTTTACACACTTTTTGTCCTACTGTATCCTCCCTTTGCAGATCTACCTGTTTTTTCTCGCTGATCATGGCTAGTTGGATTATGAATAGATGAAGGAACGTTTTTGTGCGTCCTGTTTTGGTAACACACTTTGTGATTCGCGTATCTTTAATTATCTGCTTTGGTTTATAGTTTTTACCCACTTTTTAAATTGGTCTTGGGTAGATAGATTAAGTAATACGCGTCATTGTGTTTAAATAGATTTTCTGATATCTGCATTTGTTTCCTATTTTTCGTGCTTTATTTTCACTCTTTTGTTCATCCTGCTAGCTCAGCCAATGGGTCCGGACCAGTTTTTAAGAAGTACTTGATTCGGGTTAGAGAGGAAAGACAGCCATCGAAGCTGTGAGAACCATGTGGCATGTTATTTTTACACGTTTATTAGGTGGTCACACTGAAAAATATGTAATTGGATTCGACCGTTAACTTTTTTTGCAGCTGTAATCTCGAAAAAATATTTAATTGGATTCGAGCCATAGCTTTTTATGTGGCTGTAATCTCAACTCGATATGAAATGTTTCATATGCTTTATCATCCACGGTGTTGGTAATTGCTTATCTTATTGCATTTATCTTCGTTTTGTTTCAATTTGTCATATAGATATACCAATATTATGTGCCCCTCACTAAATAGTAAGTCATTTATCGTCAAATGAATCTTTTAATAATTGTCACCGTCTCCTTCTGTTCTATTTATACTCAATTTCTATAATTACTATTAATTCATTCGGATATGCTGCTGATAATGCATTCATCATCCTAAGGAAGACAAGATGGGCGAGATTGGTGGCAGTGAAGGACATTCATCTGCCTCCGCCAATAAAAAGTCCCGAAACAAACAAAAAAAATGCTCGTCCGATCTCACATCTCAACTCTTGGACAAGCCACCACCTCTATCCCCGACTGAATACCGCAAGTACCAGCTTCTCGAGCAGCAGTTCCAGAATGCATTCAGACAACTGAAATCTATGGTTGAAAAATCCAGAGGCACCATTAAGGAGGCAGCTGCCGAATGGGATGACCCCGTCACCTTCGAGCTCGAGGGACTTCTATCGAGCTTCTTGTCAACAACTCTCGACAATGCCGTCAGGAAGCTCGTCTGGTGCGGCTACAATGAAGAAACTGCTGAATGGGCCATCCTCAGCAGTAGTAACTTTAACGGCAGTAAAGATGCTGAGTCCAACATTGTCGAGGGTGCCTTAACTCTGTTGAAAATGGACGAGCATGTGAAGATGCAGAAGAAAACTGTGTTTGAGAGCCTCCAGAGCCTGGTTGAGTACACATTGCTTGAGATGATCCACGTTGTCCGTGAGCTGAGGCCTGAGTTGACCGTGACAGAGGTGATGTGGTGCCTTTTGATGAGCGACTTGGACCTTGCAACTGTATGCGGTCTTAAATGGGCCCCAGAAGCCTCTGAAGGAAGCCCAAGGGAAACTTCCAGAACAGTCCAGCCCAGTTCTGGTGAATTGGCGAAAGGGGCCTCTCTTTCTCTTCAGGAGCTGAAGATGGACGAGAACTCTGGGCCCAGCGGCAGTAAAAAGGCGCCAGCTATTCATTTCAAGGGGGATTTTCTCCGCCAGAAGGCGATCCATTTCGAGAAGAACTATAGAGGCCGGTTTACAAAAGGGAGCTTTAAGGCCAAAGTCGCTGCATGGGAAAGCATGGTCTTGGACCAGTCACTCGAGTTGCAATCTATCTCTGAAGGAGACGAGAAAAAATCTGATGATTCGCAGCTGACTGATAAAGATCAACTTTCTGCATTGCCAGCTGGAAATCTCGACACCTGCATGAGGGGCGAGAAAGTCAATTTCCCCGATCCGCTCAAGGAGCCCACCGATTACTATGCACAAATCCGATTTGACGAGATTCTCCAGGAATACGTGGCGAAGGATGAAAAGGACCAGTTGCTGTTTATCACAGTGCCTCTCAAGGCCGAGCTTCAGAAGGAGCTCAAAGGGTGGTACGACTGGGCGAACGAGAAGGTCATGCAGGCGGCCCGTAAGCTAGGGAAGGAAAAGGCTGAACTGAAAACTCTAAGGCAAGAGAAAAAGGACGTTGAGAATTCTAAGAAGCAAAAACAAACAGTAGTTAACCATGCGGCCGAAATGGATCACAGGTTGGCTAACGCGATAAATCAGATCCAGATGGCCAGCTTTTCTGTGAAACAGCTTGAAGCCGAAAATGATGTGCTGAGGAGGGGAATGGAGGCTGCTAGGATGGAGGCTCGCGGATCGGAGGTTAAATTGGACGAGGCTGTTGCGAAGGAGCAGGAAATTATGAAGAGATTGCAGGCTTGGGAGGTAGAGAAGGATTTTATGATTGAGAAATTGACTGTTACGAGGCGAGAAACTGCCGAGTTGGAGAGTCTGATTGGGAAGAGGAAAAATCGCCAGAATCAGTTCAAGGTATGTATTGGTCTGTTTCAATGACACTGAGTTGGAATTTTCTAAGTACTTTTTGTTGTTTATGCTGCTTGATGTTCGGCTTAATGTATAATTTTTTTTATCTTGTGGTGGTCTTCAAGTGTCTTGACAGAATTCTGTTTCTTGACTGTTGCGGGTTGCCATGCCCTCTAAAGTCTTGGTGTAGTTATAAACAAATCAACTGAGTTGCAAATTTATGAATACCCACTTAACATTTGTTTCTAGCTCTTTTATGAGGAATTTGATAATACATTGAAGGGTGTTTGCAGTTTTGGAGTAAGATTTCATTTTATCTCAAATTTTTTTAATAAACCATTTATAATATTTGTAGTTTTCTCTTGTTCTTAAGAAACTATTAATGATGGATCTGCGCCTGAAATTGTTTTTAATGTTATAGTCAAGTCGAGCCGTGTTGAACACATCTGCCTGAGATGGTTGGCTTTTTTATGGTAATATGTGCAAATCTCGTAAAGTCCTTTCTTGTTAGCGTTGTTTTTAACCCATCTGTTTGAGATGGTTGACTTTTTTTTCTGGTAATTCAAACAAATCTCACTTGTCTTTATGTAACTGGCATTTAAAATATCTAGTTTTGCTTGTCCAAAGCTGGTTTTGTGCCTAAATCAGCCTAGTTGACCAAATAATTTTCTTTTGCCATTACCATTTATATATTCTTTCAGGTTCTGTTGAGGCAGGAAGAGAAGGAGAGACTGAAAGACCAGAGAATGATTGATTCCCTGAGGCAGAAAAGGGAAAAAGTAGAGGCCGTAATGAAGGCAGAAGCCGACAACATAAACCAAAAGGTACAGATGAAAAAACAAAATTTTGAAGACAAAATCAAGAATCTGCGGAGAAAGATCTCGGCATTGAAGCTGGAGTCTGACAAGAAGAAAATAGCGGCTCTAAACGCTAGCTATGGCTTGAATGTCCCTAATGTAGGTAAGCGATTGCCCGTTTTTCAGGAGATTTACGAGACTGGCGATGCCAAGGAGGAGAGAGAGTGTGTGATTTGCATGAGTGATGAGATATCGGTGGTTTTTGTGCCGTGTGGTCACCAGGTTCTTTGTGGGCCGTGTAATGATCTTCATGAGAAGAAGGGTATGAAGGATTGCCCGTCTTGCAGGGGAATGATCGATAGTCGGGTTTCTGTCTGTTTTCGGTAAGTGATATTCTATGGGGAATTTTTGTTGTCGCATTTTACGAATCGAGTTGATTGGCAATCAGTAAATGTGGCCCTTTATGTTGCTTTCTAGCACAGTTGATTATGAACTGATTTAGGAAGAAAAACTGAAAGAGAGAGCAAAAAAAGGTTGGAATTTTGGAAAAGGTTGAAAAACTTACAATTATTGTTTCAGAAATCATCAACTTGGATGGTGTTATTTTGGTTTTGACTTTGTTGTTACAACAGTGGTGTAAATTTGGAGTTTGAATTTTTATATAAATTACATATCGTTTGATTTATGGTTTCGTGCATAGTTTGCCTCTATTAATTTTTATTTATCTATTTATTTTTCCCTTGTTTAAGTGTGCGTGGTGATATGTGAACTAGCCTATGGTTGGATTTGGTGATACGTTCTGTTGTATCACAATTCTCACCCAACCCACCAACTAAACTACACTGCTACAATAAAAATCTCTATTTTCTTTCTGGACCAGTCTTGGATTACACAGATGATCAAGTGGGTCGAACTCCGTCAAAGAGACACAACCAACCGCTAAACAAAAACTCCATAAAAGAGTCGCCAACTACATGAAAGAAGACTATAAACCAGACGACGTTGGACTAGACAAAACGAGAAACAAAGAAAGACAAAAACAAAACAATGCAAACTTGATAAACAAGTACAATAACACCTTTCCTAAATCGCAGGCAAATCGAACCGATAAGTCACACACCGCAATACAGAAGCCCAACACAACAACAAACCGAGATCTCAAATCCAAAACTTCGCGAAAGATACCATATCAGATAGTGAACGAGAGAAAAGGAAAGGAAAGATTGTATTGAACAATGAGAGAATGAAAATAATGTGTACAAAAGTGACGATTAGGGTTTACATAGACCTATTTATACTAATGCTAAAATGACAATATATGAAAGAGTTGTTACATATCAAAATGACAATTTTAACTATACTAAATGGAGTACAATAAATGATGTATATGGTACAACTCCTATTATGCGGCCAAATCGAACCGCGTAGACAGATCTGACGAATAAACAATTCTCGATCAAGATATGTGTTCTGAATCTTCAACACCCAAGGGAGTGGAAGAGTCGCCACGAGAGCACCGACAGATTCCCGAGGTCGGAGGCTAGACACTTTAAGTCGACGACTCGAACCTCAGCCAGGGAGAAAGGCATTTTACATAGTAATAGTCAATGTTTTAAAAACTTGTATTAAAAATGTGGTCGTAGAAAATAGAAAAAGGTGAAATAAATAAATAAATAAACTTGTATATATTAAAAATGTGTTTGTAGAAAATAGAAAAAGGTGAAATAAATATATATACTGGTGTATGAGTAAATGAGTTGGAAAATATATGAACAGTACATACTCACCAATGAACATTATTGTTCACTTTGCTTTAAAGGGCATCAATTTGACCTCCGTATAGCTTGGCCTACAACTTTTCGGACGGATCTACCTCATCCGTCCAAACTCAATTTATGTCTAATCCTTACAACGATAAGGGAAATTATTGTTTGATCTGTTGCATTCCTAAATTTGCTAGTGGGATGAATTGAATTTTGTATATAAATAAAAAAAAAGAGTATATTTAATTAAAGTTAACGAGATTTAAAAATATTAGAATTTTGAACGATGATTAAAAAAATACAAATCTATAAATAGTAATTTTTTAAAAAATAAAATGTGTAATAATTATTATTTTTAACTTAAAGAGTATTGATATAATTAAGAATAATAAAAGTAAAATTAGTGAATAGTTATTTTTATTTAGTCTAATTTTTTTTTTAATATCCAAATTGCTCCCTTGTTAAAAAGTTTCTCCATAACAAGAGTATAGTAATTTGAAATTAGGTCCTAATCTATAAACCCTACTACCCGTAACATCTGCAATTAAAAGACGAGAGCGAGCTCTACAGATATTATATATACCATAGTACTATTATTCCTTGAGAACAATCATTTATTAATTCCTTCATTTTCTTGCAAGTCAGCCAATTCTAATTTCTAACGTTTCAGTAGCATTTGCACTGCGATCTTCCATAGACGAAAAAAAAAGGCCTCAAAAGGAAGAACGGAGCTATGGATATTGTGACCCAGTTGCAGAAACAGTTTATTGACTTCTCAAACTCTCTCTATCATGAGGTATTTCTGTGTCTTTTTCTTTTTCAAATAAAAAATCTTTTTTTCGGTAAGTGTAATGTTTATTTTCATGAAAGATTGGATTTTTTGAAAGAAATTTTACATGGGTCTTGAATTTTGTTGATCTGACGAAATCTAACCCCGATTTGTGGTTTGTGGAGAAAAGGGTTTTTTGGATGATCAATTCGTGCAGCTGCAAAAACTCCAAGATGAGGACAACCCAAACTTCGTAGTTGAAGTTATTTCACTTTTCTTTGAGGATTCGGAGAAGCTTGTAAATAATTTAGGAGTTGCTCTGTGAGTTTCATTTGTTTATCTTTTAATTTTTTCTAATCTTACTTTGAGGTTCATCAGCTTTAGGCTTTACTAATTTTGTTTTGTGTTATTTAAATTACGTAGTCAGCAGCCTGTTGTTGATTTTAAGCAGGTTGATGCGCATGTTCACCAGTTCAAAGGTAGCAGTTCAAGGTATAATTTGCTATGTTAAATCATTTTATTTCATATAGTTTTGTTTATGTCTAAGGAAAAAAATATGCCATTTTTTTGTTCTTGAAGCAAATATTTGATGCAATCTACCTTTTGATCAATTAATTTTGCTTGCTTTCATGATCTTCTTTGTTTTTTAAATTAGCTCATTTGAAAAAATTGCATATAAATTTGGTAGATTCAGATCTGGCTATGGTTGCAGAATATAAATACTGGAATTTCCTTTTCATTTGCAGTTTTTCTTCTTACATGACATGTCTTTTATTCTTCTTTGTCTTCCAAATTCCAGCATTGGTGCACAAAGAGTGAAGAATACTTGTGTTGTTTTCAGAAACTTTTGTGAGGAGAAAAGCCTTGATGGGTGAGTTCCATCATTTCTAAATTATTTTCTTAAACAGTAGTTATTAATCTCATTGATGGATTGTCTATTTTCTTTGTATGTATTAGTAATGGAGTTTAAATGACTACTTCTGTTCTTTTATCCTGTTTGGACATCATGTGGCTAAAGATTTTGTTATGTAGGTGTATGAGGTGTTTGCAACAAATAAAACAGGAATACTTTCTCGTGAAGAGCAAGCTGGAAACTTTGTTCCGGGTAAGTGTTCTGCTTCGATTATCATGTTTCTTATTTCATGATGTTGGTTAATGGATGACCAAATTCCACTTACAGTCTTGTTTAGACCTAATAATACCATTTTCCATTAGTCGCCAAGCGAAATAAAAAGAAAACGAAAAAACTCCCAAAGTTACAAATATCCCTTTGATAATTTTAAATATTTCTAATAGGATGCATTACGAGATATACATGTCAAGTAAGATGCAATTCTCAATGGTGTGTTTGCAATCTCAAAATATATCTGGGTTTCTCAAAAAATGAACTAAATCTTAAGTTCAATTTCTATAGTCAGCCATATTTTTCTGAATAGTTATTACTCTTTACAGTGTTTATCTTACACTATAGATATTTACTTCAGTTTTTCTAAAGATCTACTTGGTTGAATGTAGCTTGAGCGGCAAATTTTGGAAGCCGGCGGGAGAGTTCCTACAATAGCATAAGAGAGCTATTGCTAAAATTGTGATTGAAAAATTGAAGGGGATGTTTTATTTGAACATTATTCTTGTTATCATTGAACCTAGCTTCTAGTTTCTCATGCCACTGGTAGATTTCACGACATGTCTGAGTCGAGCGTGTGCGCATTTATTTTTACTTGTTCTGTTACCTCACGTTTATGCTTTCTTTTTCGGCATTTGTAGTTGGTGTAGATTCTTGTTCTCCTATTTTTATCTTCGTTTTGTGATCTTTAGCTGTAACGCCTGAACTTCATCTTTGTATTTCGAGCAAGTGTGATGGTTATGATGATTATGTGTTTTTCGTATTTGTTGGAAGATCAATTTTTTTTGTTTTGTTTTCTGGAGTTAAAGTTAAGGGATAGTTGCAAATCAAGATCAACGTCGTCTTTCATATTTGCTATGTATTAGTTGAAATTAAGGTATTGTTGCAAATTTAGCAAAGTTGTTAGCAACTTTTGCATCCCATTGAAGTGTTATTAGCAAAACAGGCACAAACTTTGAGGGGCTATATGTTGTTTCATAAGATAAGTATTTCCT